CTCCCCGGGGCCTCCGCCCCCTTCGTGGAGGGCGGGCCGGGGTGGGGTGCCCCTCCGGCTGCGGGCGAGGCGCTGTGTGTGCCTGGGGGAGGGCAGGGTAGATGTGCACCTTCTAAACCGAGTTCATCGGAGATGTCGCGCACAAGCTTTGCTGAGCCCAGCTCACTTCTGGCTGCAGGCTGGCCGGGCTAAGTGCCTGGGTGCGGCTGGAGGGGGTGGGAGCGCACCGAAGACATGTTTGCCCTGAGAACGGGTTACTGGTTAACCAGTGTGCCAGCCTTGAAGATGCTGCTGGCTGAAAGGATGTGGATTGAATGTCCTGCTGGAGGCTGTCTTGTCTTCTGTGGCAATCACACTGGCGCTGATAGGAGCATGGCAGGGTTCACTGGTGATTTGCATTTTTCTTTTCCTGGCTGTCACAGGGAGGGATGGAAGTGTTTGGATGGGGACTTTCTGCGGGGTCAAGAAGGGCACGCCAGTGCTGGCAGTACCATAGCAAGGAAGATTAGCGCCCCGGGCAAAGCCCACAGAGGCAGCTCACCCTTGCCCCTTGCACAGATCCAAGGGGGTGCATGCCCCCCCATGCTTGCCCAGGAGTGCACGCAGCAGTGGGAGCCACCCCGCCCCAAACAAGTGATTTGCAGCTCCGTCCCACCCCAGCTAGGCAGCGCCTGTTGGTGCTCCTTCGCTTCAGTGCCTGGGGTAGTCGCCCTGCTTACCCCCTGCCCTTGCTATAGCACTGGGTGCTGGTAGAGCCCCAGGCAAAGTTCATGGAGCCACTGGGATCAGAGGGTTGTGACTGCCCAGACATGGGTGCACATTACTCCTTCTTTAGGGAGCAGTGTTAGTTGGGCCCCATCTCCCCAACACTCATCTCCTCACTAGAATGGATCCCACAGGGATTCTCTGTGCGTGTTCCAACAGCCGTGCCCCATTGCTCATTTTCATGCACATCTCTGCAGTTGGGCCTGGAGCCAGGTAGGCTCACACTTAGTCAGGAAGCTTACTCACATGTGGGTGGTTCCCTGCACAACTAGGGGCAGAACTGTTTTAGGAATCTGCTGTCACTGAATGGGAGTTGAGATGGGCTAGAAACCTTGGAAGAGCCTGTTCTAGAGAGATTTCAAGGTTGGTTTGCAGTCTCCTGATTGCTTACTGCAACTGCAAATATGGTCACTTACTTAACTGAATCAATTGGGCATCCAAATCTTATGAAGCGTGCTCAGCACTGGCAACGTTTTGTGTTTCCATCACTACATGGCTGATTTATTTGTGTGTCCCATCTCTACTTTGTCCTTGCCTAAGTAGCCTGAGTACCAGAGAACATCATCCTCTGCTTAATACTTGAGTGATACAGATAGGATGTTCAGTAAGGATTCCGCTATACCAGGGGCGGGCAATTGTTTTGGGCAGAGGGCTGCTTACTGAGTTTTGGTAAGCCATCGAGGGCCATGTGACAGGCAGCCCAGAGCAGATGAATATTATTTTTCTAAATTTTTAGGGGCCCTGTGGACCAGACAGAATGGCCTGGCAGGCCACATCTGGCCCCGGGATGCATTTTGCCCACCCCTGCACTACACCCCACCTCTTAGCTCCTTTAACAATGATCTTGGCATGTCCTGGGAGTATTGAAAGCCTTGATCCTTAG